TCCTTTCAAAAACGATAGATGTGAATCCCTCACTACCGGCTGAAACGGAGCTGAGACTTCGCTCCAATGTATGAATTCGAGACAGAGATAGGTGTTTCTTGACGCAGAGGGAAGAGTAAAAGATGCGCATCCATCATTTTTAAAAATAAAAACCCTTATTTTTTACTAGTTCTACTAACCCTTGTCACGTTGAGTCATCTAAATCGTTTCTTTTCCCATCCTTTTTCGTAGCAAAAATACTAAGCTTCTTAGGCGATCAGTGCGAGCATCCCATACTAGTGATGTTACTGAGCGCAGCTGTTCTTTACCATTTTTGGAAAAATGTAGTCTACTGTTAATAGTGCCGCCAAGATATATCCCGATTCTGTCTTCAGCTGCATGGAGCAAATTATAACCGTCCACTTAGTTTTGCAGGAAAATGGCTCCTATCTACACGACTAAAATTAAACTCTATTGTTGTTAGGAGTTTTTGACTTCTCGTTGGCTGCAAGTGAGTGAAGAAAATTCTAAAAGTTTGTTTTTTCGGACCCATAGGTTTTAGACCCAAAAACTTCATTATCTTAGAATCAAAATTTCTGGAACATTTGCAGAACCAACAGAAATAGGACATTTGAGGGAAATATCTTCTGCCATTTTCCAAAACGGTAAAATACCTCATCCTGGCCCTTCAAAATAAGATGATTTCTCAGCACACCTACACCAAGGACATCGAGCAGCGAAAAGAGGATATTTTTTAGTTTTTTTTTTTTTATAAGACTCTTTATTGGGAAACTGTTATGATGCTAATCCTTTCGGAAGACGAAACGAGTGTCAGAATGGCTAGCAGGCCGGCCATCGAGTGAAGCAGCATTGACCAAAGCAACTGGAATAGTGGCCAGCTGCGTTGTTTTGAGATCTAATCTCTGAGCTGCTGCAGAACAAAGAACTAAAGATTTAAAAAAATTACTCAAAAGACTGATCTTTCCTTATTTTCTTGAGAATTTTTGCAGAGGATTACTTGATGTCACAAGTTTGCGGGGCGTGGTCATCCGAATCAGTGCTATCATTAAACGATACTGGTGCTGTGTCTTCGAAAGTTAGACGCCGGTTATACTGTAATGAATAGCCAGTTTTGGATTCTGCTTCACGGCATACAAATGTGCCCAAGTACTTTTCTAAATTTTCGGAAAAATTTACTTTTGTTCTAAGCAATCTGGAGTTGTTTGCAAATGGCGCCCAAAATAATTACTGATGCTGAATTAACTGAATAAGAAAAGCATATTCTTTAGTTTTTCTGTAGGACTGGTTTCAAGCTGTTTCTGAATTTCAGAAGCTTGTTGCAAGCCTGGCACATGAAAATTCAGACATTTGAGAAATCAAAATTTTTTAAAAAACCGCCAAAAAACTAGGGGAACTTTTTGAAAAAATTTTTGGCAATCGAAAACTCCAATATTCGCCAGTTTTTGTTATTTGTGTTCTTGAAAATTCAAAAATTTTTTCCAGAAGTTAAATAATCTTTTTTGAAAATTTTCTAAAGATTTAAAAAAAAATGGTTTTTACAACAATTCCTGCTGGTCAGGGTTTTCAAAAATTCGATAGTTTTTCTTAAATTTTTTTGTTTGAAATTTCTAAAAATCCATTTAGCAGCGTTATAGAATTTGAAAATTTTCAGATTCTGGAGTGACAGCACCAATTTAGGGATGAAAAAGACTCAACATGTGTAACAGAGAGTTGTTCTCGGACGAGTTAGAACCACCTGTTTTTTGATATTCGCATAAAATTTCTCCTTTAAAGTGATTCAGTTCTTTTTAAAAAAGCTCAGTTGCTCTTTTTTTGGTTCATTAGATGCACAAATATATATATATATATATATGTACGTGTGTGTGCATTCCCATGTACTTACGAATACACATAACTGTTGTCCGAAAAATCTTGTCCACGAACATTTCTCGTTTCTGCAGGCTGAACTTTTTCATTTTTTAGCTTAGCACGAAGTTTTTTTTTTTGCATAATGAAAACAAATTACCTTTTTGGTCAAGATCGTTCTCATTCCAGTATTGACTTGCAGCAATGCCGTAACCTTGCATATTGCTCAGTGGTAAAGTTTCATAGATAAATCCATGCGTTTTATTTGGTTTTGTTGGAGTACTGATCGAAATCCGTAGCATTCGGCTGTCCTCCGGTTGGATGTAATCGAAGCACGGGCAGATTTTGTAAGCAATTTCAATGCTTTTTGCGCTGATCTATAAATCTAGTCATTTTCTTCTTGCGAATGAGACTGAAGTGCTTACAACATCCGGTTCAGCAGCTCTCAGTTTTTAGGATTACCGTAAAAGTGGCCATGAAATGAAAGAGGAGAATGGCATGTTGTCGATTACGCCATCGGAAAGGTTTGCGCATGCGGTTTAGCGTTGAATTAGTAACTGGTTTGAGAAAAATAAAATATAAAAAACTCTCTAAAAGCTTGTGAACTCGGTAAGTCAGTTGCTTTGTTCGGCTTCTAAAGTTGACGAAGTTCTCTAACTCAGTGCGCGTCGCAGCTTAGTGAGGAACACTGGCCTTGAATATTAGTCTGCTTCCTGTCGTATTGGTGAGCAACAAAAGCGCAGTCCGAACTCCTTGTGGACGAGGCTCAAATATTATTAATTCCGGTTCCACAGTAATTGGAGGTTCGTCAATCAACGAGGACGAGTCTTCTGGCTCGTCTGTAGTCTCTGTAAACTCAACCGACATGTTGCAGCAATTGAAATCTTACAAAGTGATTCATTAAAGATGATTTTTCGATTATTAATCTCCCAAAGATTTTGAAAAATTTGCATTTTTCGGGAAGAAATTTTGCATGCTTTGTGAATACCGTCAGAACGGTCGAATGAAAAAGGGAGGTACAAATTGGAGAAGAATGGAAAAGCTGCCAGCTGCTTTTCCATTCTTCTCCAAATTTGTATCTACATTTTTCATAAGACATTGAACCAATAGCTGATCAAAACAGAAAAGTATGAAAACTGCGTGGATTATGAATGGTCAACTGACCTTCATATATTTTTGACAGTTATGGAATCTTAAAGCAAATTTTCGAAGTCCTGCAAGCATCAGGCCCACTGGACCATCCTGATATTTTTGGAGGCTCATGCAAACGCGTATGCAAAGAACTGATAAATCAGCTCCAGAAAGCTTAAGCAGAAAATTTCGGGAGTTGAAATTTTGCTTTCTTTTTGCTTGATAGAATAAGAGGGTCGAAAATCAGCTCTTGAGTCTCATTGAGTTGCTGGGAATCAGTCTGCTGAAAATAGAAGGAGCTGATTTGGATGCGCTTTAAGTGAGCTTGTATCTCGGTAAAATGAAAACTTTTGTGCAGATGATCCACGGAATCCACAGGTGATTTTTGTAAAGCCGGATCTTGATTGTTCTGCTAATTAGAGTTGTATTCTAACTTTTCTTTGGAACTCAACAACAGTAACGTTAGGCCGAAATCATTTCGGTTATGTGATAGGAAG